GAAAATTTTTTCTTATGAATGGTTAGTCCACTAAAACGGCTAATTATACCTTAAAAATAACATTGACAAATAAAAAGTAAATGTGAAAAAAAAGATTCCTTGTTTCTTGCGGTCATCTTTGCAAATAAGGTGCCACACTAAAGATTCAGCCGGTTGTTCCACTCAAATGTCTTCAATTTAAAATATCGCAAGTAAGCAACTCTTGACTAGCAGCGTAATCAGACATCTTTACTTCCTTTCTGTGGAATAAGGCTAACATAGTGAAGCTCATGAAGGTGACCCAGCACAAGCCGGTTGCTACCAGTAACATCAAACTCTGGGCAGATCATTACGTCATGGCGATGCGGAAGACTGCTGATCACATGGATGCACGTTTGCAAGTAGTTTGCCGCGCCGTGTAGAATCACGTGATCACCCCATATACCATCTGCCATCATACTAGTGAGGTAGGCATCCCAAGATGGATATCCATCAACAAAATGAAACAGTTCTGTCCCATCCGGCTGTAAGAAAGAAACAACTACTGTAGTTAATAAAGAAAAAGGTACAGTGCTTTTTTAGAAGGTATTTATTTAGACAGCCGCGCTGTTTGTTCTCTCTAAGGCTGACCACGCTAGTATCAGCACTAGTATAGTGTACACTGTTTTAGGAGTATCCCTATTAAAGTATTAAAGCAGAGATTTGTTCACCTTAGTAGTATGGGACGAGCCAGGTAGACGTCTTTTTTTAAAGTCAAATAAATTAACGTCGATGACGTCTTTATCTCCTTTGCGCACCAAGAATCAGTAAACCGGAACCAGAACAATAAAGCTATGATCATACTATATCAGATAAGCTTTGGTGACGACACGAAAAGCTATCCGGTATAGTGTGAACATCTATCCGATATGTGACTTTCCACTTAAGAGATCGGCGAGGCACAGCTTCTCTCCGTTGAACAGAAATCGCGCCGAAATCACAGTTCTTATTTGTGAACTGATACCCCATCCGGTATGATTCTCGTGCCCGCGAAAAAACTATACGGTATAGTGTGAACACAGATCAAGTTGTCTGCAATGGACAATGAAGGCGTCATGGTTCAGAGGTGTCTTCATGACCAAATAAAAACATGACGCACATAATTTAGAATGATCTACGACATCATCCTCAGAAACTAAGGACAAGATCCCAACAAGTTACATCATCAATATAAGAATAATTGGATATACTAAATACTACATAAAAATAGCTCGTGACGTTATCTTGAAGAGATTCCACCGCATTTTATTGCTAAGATAAAGATGTCATGTCATCACAGTAATAAGATTCGACTACAAAAAGGGGTCTAACCTGTGTGACCTATACTACTCTCCTTAAAAATGTAAAAAAAAAAAAACAACAGTTAAGAACGGCAGGGACCAACACTTTTAGGGAGGTGGAGTAGGTTTAGGAGGTTTTAGGGAGGTGTCCGTTACACGTGTAAGACAGAGAGAGAGAGAGAGAGGGGAGGGAAGGGATGTTTACTGTTAAAATAAAGTGAGTTTGGAAATTGCGACTTTTAAATCAGTATGTAGTCATATCCTGTTCACACAAAACTGGTGTTGGTCGACATTTCAAGTTTAGCAATATACCGCAACAAATAAAATAGGACATGAGCATGACGATCGAGCCGACAAAAAGAAATAAAAAAATTTCTCCGTATCCATTTATGCCTCCGACTCGATAAGTAACTTGGGAAAAGAATTTGCGTTCTCTCAAACTTTATCATAATGCTTAATTTAACATAAGTCGACGAGTTTTCTTAGTTTTGGGTTCTTAATGACTGTATCCCAGCCCGAAAACAATAATTACCCGTGGGGGTTCGGTGCCCTACACAAAACGTCGCATACGGACGTTTTGCGTCGCAGTCGTGCAGTGAACGACGAAGCAAAGTACAAACAAGCGTGATGCTCATGCAGAGCTGATGTTTTGCCCATAAAGGGTGGATTCATTTGCATCATATCCGTAAAGCCGTCCACACGTATCCGGATGTATATTTTTTTTAAATCGCAGATTTGTTTGTCCATTTTAGCCTTCCGTCCACACGTGGTCGGCATTTTCGGGCGCCAAAGAAGCAGGTTTCACAAATGTTCCCAAGAGTGGACATTTTAGAAAACGACGTGCGGATGGACGAATACAGAGGATTTAGAATACAACATTGCGCATGCTCTGTAAATGGCTGCTATCGTATTTCAATCATTTTAGCGTTTTTATGTGGACGGGCGAAAAAGATTCAAATACGCTTCGTGTGGATGCGTATTTCGGATACGTGTGGACAGGGCCTTATTGTTTTTACCTTTAAGAGGAATTAAAACAATGTAGCGGGCAAATGCCACAGCTATGCGCGTATACCGGAAATGTGTGCACCCTAATAAGGTAATAAGATATTTACCAGCCTGGGGCTTTCCCGAAGGTGTTGTACAACAGTTCGGCGTAACTCATCATGGGATATTTGAATTCCTTTGATAAGGTCAAGCTGCTCTGAAAGTGCAAAAAACATGCAGTTTCCCTCTCCTTGATTGTCAGATATCGTAAAACCTTTTTCCAACGCAGTCGTCTTTAAAGCCTGCGACAACTCAGTTTTGCTGGACTCTATGCGTGCTTCCAGCAGGATTTGTTGAAGTGTACGGAAAATGAGTTCACCTGAAAGCGGAAGATGAAAAAGACAAAATAAGATAGAGGTTATTTCACGCCAGTTTTATAGGAGATGATGATAATGATAATGATAAAGAATTTGCATAGTACTAGAACTATAAAATATTCAAAAGCGCTTCACATTAAGTTACAATTAAAAAAAATTCCTAAAAAGCTAATAATAACAATAATAACAATAATAATAATAAAATATAGTCTAAAATTCTATACAAAATTAAAATTAAAACAGTAAAAGCACTAAACTTCAGAGTTATTCTAGTAAATTGTAAGCTTTCCGGCCTAAAAAGAAAGAAGATGCTTTATAAAAATGGCAAGGCTTCTACTTGTTCTTTTACTTAATGGCAGCGAGTTCCATAAAACAGGTGCAGCACAGTGAATTGGTCTTACAACAGTCGACAATTTCAGAAAAATTACTGTGATTTTAAAAGAACAAAGTAACTTCACTCTACTGCAAAAATATATTTGGCTTTGGTTTAATTGGCAAAGCAAACAATGACATCACCTGCCATCGGTCCTGTTGCAGCATCTTTTTCAAAACCATTTTGTGGAACGTCATCTTCTTTGTTTTTTTCAACACCTGTAAAGTTTAAAATTAGCAGTGAATTTAAATGGTTTGGCCTGTAAGCGGGAGAGGAAAACAGTTATTTCACATCAGTTTACTCGGAGATGCTACACTAAACATTGAAAAGCTAAAAGCATCTGAATAATCGAAAGCACCCTTGTTCAACAGAAAATAACCGCACTCTACTTAACAATTATTCTTTGAAATCGAGGTGAATAGTGGCAAAATATTTACCGAGCCGCGAAAGCGGCGAGGTAAATATTCCCAAAGCCACTATTCACCGAGATTGAGAAGAATAATTGTTTTAGTATATACACACGAAGTGATCTCAACAAAATCAGAAAGGAAACCATTCAAAAGTAGGATTTGATTGACAGATCAAATCACGCGTAAGTTTAAAAATAGATCTTTGCAGAATTTTCAAACATGGCAATTCACAAGTTTACTCATTTCGCAAACAACAGCGTAATGGCTTCAATGGAATCGCTAAAAGTTTGAACTGTTTCCTTACCTGAGAAAAAAAGTAGAGCTGTGTTGTTTTCTGTTGAGTCGCCAAGTTTATAGCCAAAAGGGCATGTTGTGTCGTTCTTCGCATGAAGTGCTGACAAAAATGGCGGCTCGGTTGCTCGAGGTAAGAGGTCGTCTTCCTGTATCATTCTTTTTCCTGTTTACTTGAAATGTAGAATTTCTGCAAACATTTCCTTTTAAATTTGTTTGTCATAAATAAACTTCGATTTTTGAGCCAAAATTTTCTTCTTAGAAAACGCTGAGTTCACGAAACGGCTTCTTCTACGCGAATACACGGGAGTTGTAAACAATCCATCGAGCACAAAACTCCTGCTACAGTAAATTGAAAAACGCCGTATTAAATCCTTCCAAGTCTTTTCTTGCCTTAAAAAAAGTCAGCCCTAGGATTTTGTCGACTTTTAAAAGATCGTTCTCTAAAAAAAACGGGAAAAACACCGAGCTCACACATTATCCACTCGCTAGGAGGTGAATATTGTTGAATAGTCCGAGATAGCGAACCAATCAGATTGCTTAAATCACCAAGATCACTGAGTGTGTATATACTAATGCAAAATATATTTTGTCTTTGCTTTAATTGACAAAGCAAACAATTACATTACCTGCCATCGGTCCTGTTGCAGCAACTTTTTCACAGTCGTTCCGTGGAACGTCACCTTCCTTGGTTTTATCAAGACCTGTAAATTTAAAAAAAGTGTTGATTATAACAAAAAAGTGTCACTCTTAAAAAAAGGAGTTATAAGTTATACGCCAAAAGTTTGGCTGGGCTTTTGTTGTTATTTTCTCTTTATATAAAAGAGAACCCCACCATTGCTGCTGCATATGAATAGAAATCAGATGACTTTGATGTCTCGCAATGTTAAAGATTTTAATTTTCTTTTATCGTTAACTCCTTCAAGGGTAGCCAACATTTTATAAAATTATGCACAAAAGCTTTAAAGAATGGAACTGATAAGCCGGTAAAAAAGATCTTGATTATTAAACAAATTCTCCTCATCAGTAACACAAGATATGTATGGAGAACAGTGTGGAGAGTGTGAATGCCAACATTAAGGTTAAAAAGGTTAACGACAATATTTCTTCAGCGATGCACATGGACCACGAAACATAATTTTGTAAAAATGTATTTATGCACTCGCTATTGCAGAAGCAATAAATCATGAAGGCCACATGGAGGATAATCTTGATAAGATACGCATTTTACCATTTTCAAGTCCTCGTTATATTATTATTATTATTGTTACTTTACTATCGGTAAATTTGATTTCTTACCATAAACCATCCTCCACATCCTGTCAACAAGGGTCTGGCACTGTCCCTCCCAACTGAATCTTTCATCATAACATCTTCGCAGTCTTTGGATTTCCTCAAGCCGCTGTGTCCTTGATTTTTGACGGATGGCTGTAATTGCCTTTGCCCATTCCTTGGGGTCATCAGAGTCGATCACAAATGACTCACCCATTGGAAGACCACGCAGTGCTTTTCCAAATCCGGAGTTTCCACTTACCAGAATGGGAAGACCAGCTGACATGGCTTCCAATGCTGTCAAACCAAACCCCTCGGTTCTTGATGGCATGATGGCCAGATCGACTTCACAAAACAACTCTCTCAATCTTTGTTTGTCTTTCACAAATGATCTCACAATCAGCTGGTTCTTTGAAATGCCAGTCTGGAGTAAGATTTCTGCGACGTCATCCTGCCTTCCATCGGATGCACCAACGAAAACAAGACTATAGGAGCTGTCCTTCAATTCAACTATGGATTGAGCGGCAATGTCGTATCCTTTAAGACTAAAGTCTTCAAAATCACCGCGACCGAAGGTTAACACTTTGAAATTTACATTCTCTTGTTCAGAATGCTCAACATCTGAAAACTCTGTAAAGGAACCTGGTACTAACTGAAAGATTTCTTGACGAGTTGAACGCAACTGGGACGAGATCGCTTCTTTCAACTTGGGTCCAACGGCTACAACGAGATCTGCAATTTGACAAAGGTCAACTTCAGCTCTGTTCTTCCCTTCTCCCTTGGCAATGGCGCTTGGATAGTTCTTATGCATTGCCAGCTCTTCAGGCTCAGTGTGAACAACCTGCACCCACTTGCATCGATGAGACTTTCTGATAATCTGAGCTTGTCTACCAAGTTTTGCTCCATGGCCGATCACAACCTGAATGTCAAGGTCTTCTGGTGGATAGCTCAACCAGTCGAGAGGATCACTAAAGCCAGGTAGATGCCCTGCTTCCCTGATGGAAATGTTATGACTTTTGGCAACTCTCTTGTCTTTTTCTCCACACTCAAATTCAGGTACAAGAATGGTCACTTCTACGTTTTCGTCTTTTGCCAAATGTATGGCAAGAGTCCTGTTTACTGTTGACAAGCCACCCTTGGACGAGCCCCACTCATTAGCTAGAAGGGTAACTTTCAGTACCAGACACTCTGGACGAACCTGTGCAGTATCAGGTGATGATGATGGAGAACACGCTTCATGCATGGGAACCAAAATTGGATACTTTAAAATAGAAATGTTGCATCTGGGGGCTTCTACCTTTTTGAATGAAAGTTTGCAAAACATTTTATCAACACGGTAGATGCTACAAACTTATTGCTCAACCGCAAAGCAAAACAGCACATTTACAATGACCTTGAGAAAAAATTATATGCCAACTGCTATGCCTACAGACCAATAACAATTATTAATACATGGTGGCCAATTGACCTTATCAACTTACTTGATTTGAAGTACCAATGTTTGCTAAGTTGATAGCAACAAAGCATTCTCTTACACTCCAGTGGAGATCGTGGTAGGATAAATAGAGAATACTTCATGGGAAGTGCTTGCGTACCTGACTCGTCCCCAGTCGTCCCTCTTGAGAAAGGAGAGAAGCGCGAGGGGAAATGGGAAGGAGGAAAGGGGAAGGGAGAAACTCTAACATGCTGAACTAGCCCCGTTTCCTCGAAAAATGCTCGACCGAGCTCGGCTCTACAAGGAATATGAGGGCAAGGTAACTTGCGACTCAAATAGGCCCGATGGAACGGCCTGTTTTCCAAATTTAAAATTTCAGCACCGTCCGCCATTAATTCGTCCGCCATCTTGATAACAGGATCTGCCAGTCGTCTCTCCCCTTTCCTCCTTCCCATCACCCCCCGCGCTTCTCTCCTTTCTCAAGAGAGACGACTGGGGACGAGTCCGCTTGCGTAAATACCGTACGCCAGCACTTTCCATGTGGTATTGTGTTTATTATACACATACTGAGACATTCATCATTTTGTCGGCCTTTTTATTTTAAATCTTTCAAAAATGCTAAAATTTGCCGCTACACACTTACCGAAAAATGGCAACGAAAACAAATTATCAGCTTTTTAGTAAAGACGTTTGTTAAAAGCATAAATGACGGTGAGAATATGAGGTAATCCAAGAACTTTAAGTAACAGTTTGTTCTCAAAGCACAATTGAAAATGAGTGAATTTAAGTATAATGGCCGGTTTCAATGTAAGCTTAAGCTTAAATGAAAGGCAAAGTAGCTCCGACAAAAAGCACAACAAAAGCTTACGTCCCGTTCTGTTTATCCCTTTCCGCTGATGTTTTGCCGGCTCTCTACCGTTTTCTTTATCAACAGTGAAAGAAACGAAACTATTCCACTCCATTTCTGAAAAGCTTTTCACTTTTTTAGCGAGAAAAACTCTTTGAGTAAAACTTTTCTCGTTGAATGTGTGCGAAGCGGCGCTTAGCAAGCTGCAATAAATGGCGGAAATTTTGGCGCGAAACTCCCACACCTCTGTACACGTGAAAAAACATAATTTGCGATTTTGATTGGACGTATCATTTTTTTCACGTGTGAAAACCATCGTTCGCTCCTCTGATTGGCTAGAACTAATTTGTGTACGAAAATTTAAGACATACCTTTTTGGTGAGTATTTCTCAGTATGTATATAATAAATAAAGGCATACGATAAACCTCGTACTATAACCTTAACAAAGCACATCCATGGACTTTGTTGAAGCTTCTTTAGTTTAAATATATGGCTACAGTGGTTACTCTTTATGAAGACACAATTTTAAGTAGTATGTGTATTCGATTGATATGTAATCTGCCAACAGCACTGCTAGAGATTGCATTTCACTACTACCTACCTTGCTTTCTATTTGTGAGAACCACTGTTCTTGTCCCGTAACCGTGAGTACCTCCCCTGCAGGTTTCTTCTTGCAAATCAGAGGATCGCCTTGTCTTAACTCAAGGAGGTGAAGACAATCTTCATGAGAACATGCAATCTGATTATGGCTTGAGCATTTTTCCCGCTGACAATACGGACAGGCGACCCGAATATGATACTGCAATCCACCTTTATAGAGATCACGTGACAAAACTTGGAAAGTTGCCTCCACAAACTCACGAACCTGCACCGCCACCTTACTTGTGTCATCTACTGAGATCTGCTGAGTTTGGTTTCTTTGTTTGATAAAAAACTTAATAAACTGCTTCTTACAAATAAGAACAAAATCGTGGAAAGTTTGCTTCCCAATAACAAACCACGCTCCATTTTGGAACAGGGTAGGGGGCTGAGTTGGACCAGTTTCAGAACACCAACGGACAGATCGAGAAACAAGTCGTGTGAACAGACCATGGGGAACAGAACCGCCGACAAAGTAAACATACAGGGGACATGGGTCCAGCCTTGACGGCGCCATAAAACAAAGGGAATCAGGCGAAGCTTTGAGTTGAGATGGAACAAAATACTTTTCACCTGTCTTTGAAGATGAAAATTTTGCAATCAATCCAAATCGTTCCATCAAATCAAGAATGTCTTTCCTGGCAACACCCTTCAGGAGAAAGTTGGAAAACACAAGATCAACCAGTTCCATGGAGAGAACACCGCTTTCTTTAACTTCCTTCCAGTGCTTGGCAACCTTAGGAACCTAAAACAGAATAAGGTGGAGGCCAATGACAAAGCTTTCTTGAAATAGTGAAATTTTTTAGGAGAATTTTGAGCCAGTTAATTAATGCACTTGTAAATTATTGGTTATTTTATTTAATATTTTAATTAACAAACAAAGAAAAAGATCTTGAGTTTCCCGTTTTTGTGTGGGGACGAATATAAAGAAAAAGTTCCGTAGTCTGCCTAACAAGTACTACTGTGTGAATAAAAGTAAAGAGGATAGTCTTCTAAGCAGCCCTCCGTTTGGTTCGTCACATAATTCTTTCCAATCACGTTAGGAGATTTACGAAGTTAAGTTTTCTTTTCTTCACAACGTTCACCATAACCTCGCGCCGAGAGAAAACTATAGAAACGTGGTTGTCGTGGTGGAAGGAAACAATGTGAAACAATGAAATGTGGAAAAGGAAAAAGGGATGTGGGAAAGTGGAAAAACGTTTTTCGTGATAGAAATGGATAGTGTGGCTTCGTACTCATGAAAAATTAACGATTTGCGCGCGTAATAAACCTGAACAACTTATTGAACAATGAAAGCGGTATGAAATGTAACTTGCATAACTACGTCACAGGCGAGTCAGCGCTTATTCCTTCAACAACCTGGATCAACCAATGAATACTTTTCCTAGTTCTTCCACGTAGTCGTCAACCAATCAAAAAGCAAGACCTTCATCTACCAAGAAATAACGGGAAAACCTGTCCAAAGGGTTAAAAATAACACACAACCTTATCTTAGGGCCAGTTTACATCGAGGTGGAGGACCCTAGGTAGGTGAGGTAACCCGCCTGTCCAAATAATGTCCCATTTTAATTTGACCGCGTTTACATGATTGTTGCGGTGACCAGCAGCGGGTTACCTCACCTACCTAGGGTCCTCCACCTCGATGTAAACTGGCTCTAAGATAAGGTCGTGTGCTATTTTTAGCCCTTTAAAGAGATTCAACCGCATTTAATTCATGAGATAAAGATAAAAAGGTTATGACGTCATCAGCGTTTATGTATTCCACCGAAGATTCCACCGCAAAAAAGGCTGATTCTATGCCTAATATACTACTGAGGATAGACTACGAGTAGCCCCTTATTTTCCTCTGGGATATCTGAGCGATTAAAATACAGGAGCGTTTGTCACCTTCCTCGAGGCTGACAAATTTCACGCGCGCTCGCGTAATTCGCTCGCTCCACTATCCCTAAGGAAGAGACTACTTGTAATCTGGTTGGAGAGAGTTGCGTAACGAGCCAAAAGAAAGTCAGCGTATGTAAGAGACAATACTGCTTCGTACAAGCTAAACTTCTTCGTTTTTTGAGCTATTTTGAAAAAATAGCTCATATGTCAGTGGTGTGAGAGTATGTATCTTCGTGGCTTCGTGGCTTTGTATGTTCGTATGTTTGTTGCAGGGCCAATAAGGTTGAAGGTACTATGATTTGATGCGTAGGAACCAATGCGATTTTGGCATCTAACCGTTAATGACATTGCTTAAGGTCAAACCAGGGCACTTAGAGAGCGCCATCTTGATTCTTCACAGTTTTTTCGCCTTTTATTACGGCTAAAAGTGTTTTGAAGCATAGTATTGAAATATCCTTATGATTCAAACGTTGGGTACAGTGATGCAACTGTTGACGGTTCCATAATTTTGTGTGGATGCTGCTTCAAGACATTTGACCTAATTCGGCTATCGCGAACGGTACAACGCACGTATTTCACAATTAATTTTATGAGTTCTGTTTCACCTGCTTCAAGGTAGAGTATAAAAGATCATGTATTTTTCAAAGTTCTTCCAATGAAACAATAATTGACATTTTTTTTTTTTTTTTTTTTTTTTTTATTTGCCACACTAATTACAAAAAATATAGGAAAAAAAGAAAAAAAAAAAAAAAAAAAGTGGCGAGGAGACCTAACAGAAACTATAGGAGCTTATGAGAGGTTAGGCCTCCTCGAACTATGAGCTAGAGCTGTTTCACATCAATTGAAGAGAAGAAGGCGAAAAGTCGAAGATGGAAAGGTTTATAAACTGTTTTCATACTTACTCAATAATTTAATCTTCAGTTTTTTCTTAAAAGAGGAGAGGGATTGAGAGTTGATGATCTTGTTGTCAAGTGAATTAAAAACTTAGGCCCTTGAAAAAGGGCGAGAACTTCTTCGTGTTTGTACGACAATACGGTAGACGGTAGGCCTGGGAATTTCTTGTATTGTAAGAGTGGAATTGATTGCTTTGAGAGAAATTGTTATTAAACTTTGGAGGTAAGAATGAATTTTTGCAAGAATACATAAATTGGCCCAGTTGAAGCAAATGGATATCATTAAATTTTAGTATACCGAGGTCCTTAAAGATGGGGTCAGTATGAGCATTAAAATGTGATTTATTAATAATTCTAATAATGCGCTTTTGCAGGATAACAAGGCGGCGGAGATTAGTTTCATAGGTCGAAGCCCAAACGATATTGCAGTAGTAAAAATAAGGATAAATTAAGGAATAGTAGAGCATACGTAAAGACGATTTAGGAAGAAAGAAGCTGCATCTAGATATTATACCGATTGACTTCGCAACTTTACTTGCAACGTGAGATATTTCCGACTTCCAATTTAGGTTTTCATCCAAAATTACGCCTAGAAAATTTGTCTCCTTTACTTTAACAATATTTTGATTATCTATACTTATTTGAATATTACAAATTGAACGCTTTTGTCTTGGTTTGAAGACCATAAATTTAGTCTTTTTAAGATTTAGAGAAAGCTTGTTTGCTTTAAACCAGATTGACAGTTTGTCCATCTCCAAGTTTAACATATCTGAGAGATAGTTCAGATCTTTATGTGACATGAATACATTGGTATCGTCAGCGAACAATATCAGATTTAATAGATTAGAAGCATTGTTGATGTCGTTAATGTACAGTAAGAAAAATAGAGGTCCGAGGATAGAACCCTGAGGAACCCCACAAGAGATTTCATTTCTTAACGAACGGTGGCCATTATATTCAACATATTGCTTTCTGTTTGAAAAGTAACTTCTTATCCAGTCCAGCGCTAAGCCACGAATACCGTAATGTTCGAGTTTATCAAAAAGGATGATATGATTTACAGTGTCAAAGGCTTTTGAGAGGTCAAGAAAAATACCTACGGAAAATTCACCTCGGTCAAAGGCAGTAGAGATCTTATCATGCAAGTCGATTAGCGCGAGTGCAGTGGAATGATTTTTCCTGAAGCCGTATTGGTTACTACAGAGAATGTTGAAGTTCATCAGATATTGCATTAAACGATTGTAGATAACTCTTTCAAAGAATTTTGAAAAACTGGGAAGCACCGAGATAGGTCGGTAGTTGGTGAAAAGCGACTGATCATCAGATTTAAAAATAGGTATCACGCGAGCGATTTTCATTTCATCGGGAACAATACCATGCTGGATTGACAAGTTTATGATATGGGTGAGTGGTTCAGAAACAAGTAGAATGGACTCCTTAATGACTGTCATTGGAATCTGGTCGTAGCCAGCTGCTTTGCCTGGAAGAAAAGTTTTCGCAATCACAGTGATCTCATCTTGAGTTGTAGGGTTGAAGAATATTGACTGTGTAAAGGAACCATTAAGAAAACAACGGTGTGAAGCTGACGACTGTATACCCCTTGCTAAATTAGGACCGATGCTTGAAAAATAACTACAAAACTTGTTGGCAATTTCGACAGGATCAGTAACTTCACGATCATCAGCTTTAAATGTTGAGCATCTATTGGAATTTCTTTTGCTTCTGTTTAGAATTTCATTTAAAACTTTCCAAGTAGCACGAGTATTAGATTGAACGTTATTCAATTTCTTCTCATAGCATAGACGTTTTGCTGTCCGCAGAGAATGATTTAATTTGTTTTTATAACTTTTGTAAACTGATTGACGATCCATTGTTGGGTTTCGCAGATATTTTTTATAAAGCCTATTACCCTACATTTATATAACTATGGACTTTAATTCGGAAGTTTGCGGCCTATAAATTGTTGTTTTAGAAGTTTGAAACGCAAGACGAGTATTGCTAATCCTGTAAACAAGTTTTATTCTCTCGCTTACAAACCTTTTGTGTAGGTTGAGACGTTGTTACAAATTTTTCGCAATTCGCTCCACGCGTGCATCAGTTTGGGAGGTAAATAGTAAGGCTTCGTTTATATATACAATATGTATTTTCACTCTGTTTGTTTGTCCGATTCCTTTGAGCCTACATAAAGGGTAAATTGCAGGTAAATTGGTTATAAGCTCCTTTTATTGTTGGCGGCTACCTCGTGATGTCACCTGATGTCCTTCGAAATTGAAAAAAGAATCCTCTTGGGATATTTTATCGTTCAAGAAAGAAGGTGCAGTGAAAATGATTAACTGTATAGTATAGCGAGTATAGCGGGTTGATTGCAGGAAGACTGCTGACCAGGCGTTAATAGCGGAGCTCCCGCGCGCGCGCAGCGGAGCACCATGGGTAAGAAAATTTGGTAAACTATCCATCCCAGAAAATTTGGTTATGACGTAGCGTACGCCCACCCGTACACACACTTCATTTAAGCCGATGTCAAATGTCACAATAGATCTTGCACAACTTGACTAGCCTTTCAGTTATGTAAGCCATCTGTATGAGTACGATTAGATTGACAGCTGTCAAAATCAGACATCCGCTGACAATTATCACATGACTATGTCGCGGGCTCAGATGAGAGACCAGTCTTTTTGCCCCTACATATAAGCTGTTATAATATGTCACACTTGCCAATTCAACATAAAAACGAAACTACGCTGGGCAAGGCTGTCAGTTGGCTGACAGTCGTTTAAAGTTATATTGGGAAGCCAAATTAAGGTCAATTGACAGCTGTCAAAACAGGACATGTGCAGACCAGTATCAGAAAACTAATAACGTGGGCTCAGGTTCGCTGAGGTACACGATCTGGCATTTTCTACTACAAGCCGGACGGATATGCCTTACTCACACTCGTAGTCTGTTAATTCGAATATTCGCCAATCTAATTAAGGTTAATTGACAGCTGTCAAACTAGAGTATACGCTGACCATCATCACCTGAGTGTATCGCGGGCTCATTTTTCTATCCATTGAGTTCACGTAGTGTTTAAAGTTTTGCGCTGATATTTTATTTGATCACGTGCTCAATTCGAAGCCCCAGAGGTTAGAAAATCTCTCCATCCTACAAAATTCGGCAATCACGTGACCTTACACCGACCACCCGACCGTCCGCGCCACAGTCATACCAATGTTTAACCTCACACTTTCTAGCTAATTTGAGAGCCTACAACCTGATATTGTACATCCATGTTTTGATTAATTGACAGCTGTCAAAATAGTGTTTCTGCTGACCAGTATCGCCTGACCGTATTGCGGACTCAGGTATCGACCCACTGAGTTTGAGTAAGTTGCTGACAAGTTGCTACTTTTCACATGATCGCAGGCTCTAGTTCAATTTTTTTAAAATGCATATGAAATAAGTCGTGTTTATGAGTCCGTTTTAAAATTTTGATTTCGAACTGACTTCGGACGCGAAAATTCAACCCGCTTTTACATGCAGGTTAGGCAATCGCTCTTGACTTTTCTCACTGTCACGCGTTGATCACGCTCTACGTCCAACTTTTATGTTCTGATTGGTCAAAATTTGACAGGTGCGTTCATGCGGAAAATTTATGCAGCGTCTGGAAACTTGCTTACTGATAGCTGGAGCTGACAGAGTTTTGTGTCATCTTGTGATGTTTTAAACTGTCGTTCTCTACTTGGTGTACAAAATGAAATACAGCTGCTAACAAGATTGTTCTGTAATTCATGGCTGGTTTGTTTATTGCGCTTTATGTTGACAAATGCACCGGTTGTGAAAGTCATTGGAAATCCGATTTCGGATGGCATCGTTTTCAAGAATGAGCTTCCTCACTTGTCCTTGCTTGAGGCGTAACAGGGTTGAAAAGTCTCCAGCGATTCTGGAACACTTGATGACCTTCAGAAGCAGCATCTCGACTGGTAAGCCTGAGCAATTATTGTCTTTGATGTGTTTTTTTTTTTTCGGTTTCCTGAAGTCGAGCGTATGGTTTATGCGGCTTAAGTTTATACACGAGCGATGATCTAACCAACAATAGTATCAGGTTTAAAAAGCCTTTAGACATTTTTTGACCGCAAATTCAAAGAAAAGGTTCCAAAGATTATTTAGTTATGATTTTGGCTATAAACAGAAAGCTCTGAGCGATTTTCTTGCCTCGAGTTCATCTTGAAAAAGAGCAAACACCGGGAAGCCGGCTTAAAACATAAACAAGTTTATGCTTACCTGACTCATGATTTTCAGAGACACTTTACTCTCAATACTTCTCTTCGTGAATGAAAATTATTGTCTCTGTACATGTTTCACCGAATTATATTTATCTTATTGATTGTTAGTAGTCCCTCCCGCAATTTTTATCGCTGCACCGGTTGTTTGCAGTCGAACATAAACATCGCATACAGGAATACTCAAAACGCCGCGCGTAAATATCACTCGCTTTTAAAGATTACACATAACAAAACCACATACACAGTTTAATAAATAAAGGGAAATAAAACCTAAACGTAGCAATTTCCCTATCGTGTTGAAGCGTAAATGGTAACTCTATTAATCGCAGTGCAAATTTGCCTGTCAAAAGTGAGAACCCGTCCGGTTGGCCGAAAAGGTGATTTTGGGAATTTTTTTTATCGTTTTCATGCTAAAAGCCCATAATTATTACCCTGCATATCACATAGGATTAGATTTTTCTAACGGAAAAGTCCCGCATTATGGAATTCTTTTCATGAAAACGTTTGATAATTCAATGCTATAATTTGTTTTGCAAAGGAAGCGCTTGCTTTGACGTCGTGGATATTGAATGAGTGCAAATTGTCTTACAAAATTGTGAAAAACAGCAGAATGATAGAGCAAAAAAAGAACAAATTCTGCCCAAGGTCTGTATGATAAAAAAGGGCCTCATAGTACTGTTTACCGGAGACGTGTTGAGAAAAAGTATGTTTAAAAGGCTGGTTTACACTCCACCAGATTTACTTGTAAACTAAACTTGTCGAACACAAAAAATCCGGCCTGATTTTTTATTCTGGCCTCCCTTTTAGACAGATGAATGCAACGTGTCAATTGGCTGCCACCAAGGACTATCGTGGCTCGTGTGGATCTTAAAATTATATTTCGGGGTTGTCCAATTATCCATAGTCTCTCTAACGGAACATTGTTGGAGAGACTGGTGAATGCGACATTATGATGCAACAGCTAATGCAAATACAATACACAATACACGAATAGGTCTATTTGTTTTCCAGGCCTAATCTACTGTGATCGAACATGATTGCTATTTTTGGGTGTACAAATAAGACTATTAACGCGATGTAAAATTTGTTTCACTCTTGGACTGTCAAATTATTTTTCTCTAACATCACTTAGCCTAAATTTGCCTCAAAAGTCACATGACTGTGCCCTATCTGTGGATTACAAGTTTATTGTTTGATTTAAATTATGAATTTACTAACGGGAGCTTCGCTTTTAGCCCTGGCTAAATCTATATATTACTACTGAAATTAGTTGTTATAGGTTTGGTTGGGTAAGACTTCATTTCAGAATTATATCCACGAGAAAACGTCCACCCTAACTGTTTTACACTGGGCAAATATTCAATAGAGGGCCAACCCACTACGATTTTGCTGTTCACAAATAATTTGCAACAGTTAACATTTTCAAAGAGATAGCGTGTGACGCACTTAATAATCATGTTCATAAGCTATAGCACGGTTAGACACCTGTAAAGTCATCCGAAATGTGGGCCATTAGAAACCATTGCAAGTTTAAAAACATGTTTAAAATGTATTTCTTACCATTTCTTCAAAATCTGGAATAGTGATCAGCTGCCCGAACAAGTCTATCAGCCACTGGGTACTCAAGATGGCTGTGCTACGGTGCTTGATAATTACCCCCAGGTCATGATAGAAATTCACCATGGTGGTAAACTCTTTCTTACTATGGATGAAGCACTTCTCCTTGGCATGGGTCCGTAGCTTCGTTATACTCAGGTAATAAACTGGCTTGGGCTTGGAAAGTAAAGCGTTGAGGACTTTTTCAAAGTTCAGCCACCTAGTTTATAAAAACAAAGAGAAACTAAATAGCGCGTTATAGTACCCATGTCACTGCACACTATACTTGCACCGACTACAATACAGAGCACACGTTCCAAAACGAAGCGGTAAACATCACTAAAGAAAATCGCTCCAAGCTGTGAACATTCTGGTCGCCATATAGCAAAAAAAGTGGCGACTAAAGTTGCAGCAAAAGTCGCCAAGACGTTTGAATTTGTTTAGCGGTCATGTGCAAAGTTAGAGATTTTTCATTACCGTATGTTGCCCAGTATCCGGACGGTACCAGTATCCAGCCACTTAAACAAAAACTCAGTTTTGAGGCGCTCTTTTCACTTTTCTCGGTAAACGAAGTATTTCGAATGAAAGCTGAACATTTCAGCTTTAAGATAAAAGTTTTGGCGAGTTTAAAGCTGCGAAACAGTCGCAGAAGAAGCCGTTCTGTTCAGGTGAGTAAACTTTTCATGGCTAATATCACGCTGTTTACTGCGCAGTAAAATTAGTGCTGCTCAGAAAAGGGTAGGTAACATGTGATATTTTCAAAGAGACTGTTTTATATTTAAAGTGAAGATATTTAAAGAAGTCAGGTTCTCAGAAATTTTATTAATTCTTCTTGAAATTCGATTTGTTTGGAATAACGGAGGCCGCAAACTTTCACCAAGTATCGATGTCAGCTGCCCAGTATCCAGACAGTTTTTTCTTTGCTGTACAGAATCGGTGAATTAGCTGTGTACATTATCCGGATAAGATTTATTTCATATCTTTAACTATAATTAAAGCTTAGGATATATGATATAATCGTAAAATGTAATTCTACTCAACTCCTTATGGAAATTCTATTTTCTTCACTCATTCAGAGGCGACTTGATTTCGTGTGCACGGCTTATTTCGCGTGACTGCATTTTCTTTTTCAAGGAAATAAGAACTATACCATTTAACAGCCGCTCGCGTTCCCCACCATACCCCAGTCATTTGTTATGTTTTATTTCACGATGCTAGGTTCCCAGATCGATTTATATTTTTCGAATCGATTGCCAGACTACTTTGCAAGTGCAAGAGAAGCTTATTAGTCGCTTGCCTGTACGTACAATTTACGTACAATTACGTTGTTATTGTTGTGGCTGGATAATGGGCCAGTTGGCCTGATACTGGGCAACCTAGGAGCTCTCATGAAAAAATATTAATTTCGCGGTGGAAAGAAACGTAAAAAAGTTAATTATCTTTCGTCATATTAAGGACTAAATAGATTTTCTCCGGCTGGGCCAAATTTCCGAGCTCTTGCGACTAACAAAGGGAAGTTATTGCAATGTTAAACTGAAGTGTCCGGATACTGGAGAACATACTGTAGTTATTGCTTGTGGTCTTTCTAAAGTAAAAATAAGATAAATATAGGCTTACCTAAAACAGCTGGTTTAATAGGCCTTTTGCATTAGTTGATCGCATGATCAACTTCTTGTAAACACGAAAACAGTTGGCTTTTGAAAATATGGTCAGTAGGAACTGAAAAAGCGTATTGAAATCAGGTAACCTGTCAATTTTCAGCCTTATATCTTAAAAATAGCGATCGCAACGACCGCCAAAAATTAGAAGAGAAAAACAACTCTTGCCATCCAGTTTTCAATACAAACCCTTGTAAATTTGGAAATTTTCAAACTGTCGTAAATTATTTCCTGAAGCATTATGGGGCTCAAATCTCCCTTTTATTCTAAACAGGCGATTTGAGTCCTTAACTGCGTAAGGGAAAAACGTAGCGACAGTTCATAAGTATCGAAATTTACAAGGATTTGTATGCAAAACTATTCAAGCGTGACTGGGTGGCGAGAGTTGTTTTTCTCACACAATTCCTTCTAATATTCGCGGGCCGCTTACGTTGCGATCGCTACTTTTTAGATATACAGCTGAAAATCCAAAGGTTACTTAATTTTAACATGCTCTTTCAGTTCCTGCTAACAGAATTGTCCAAAAGCGAACTATTTACATGTTTACAGAAAGTTGATCACGTGAGCAACTATTGCAAGAGGCCTATTAGCGTTAAGTGGGGTCTCAAGTGGTCACCTTGTTTAGTTGAGTTGTTCATAAATAAGCTTAAAACTAAATTTAATAATCTTTTTTACAGAATGATTTTAAAAACAAAAAGAATTCACATCTCCTTTTGAAGAAATTTCCCCACAAGAGCGAAACAAACGCCTTCAAAAGTTTTATTTGTCGGCAAGAAAAAGCGACGACCGCGGCCGTTCGGTCATTGCGTGCCAAAATTGTAATCGTTGGCAACAGTAAATGAGTTAAAAATCATCATTTTTGTGCTCAATTATCTCACTGTTTTAGTATATACTAATACTGAAACAATTATTCACCGAAGTGGAGGTGGCTAGTGGTTGGGTATATTTACCTCGCCACTTCGCGTCCTCGGTAAATAACCACCACTAGCCACCTCCACTTCGGTGAATAATTGTTATTTATTATATAGACACGAGTGTTTTACTGGAAAATATACCACTCGTAAAATTCATAAAAACTACATCCGGGACCCGAGTGGTTTATTTTCCATAATCTCACACGTGAGTTTATCGATGACGTGATTTCCGTAATTTCCATCCGAAATTTGTAGGCGTCTTGCGTCTTTTGAATTTTACTTACACATTTTTCAAAGCTTTGCTGATAGTTTGTCATTGTAGAGCCCTATTCAGCTCAGTGTTATTTCTGAAGATCATTGTAAACAGTGTCTTATATTGCTGTACTGTAAATTTGAAACGTCACGATTACTTTTTGGCGAATAAAAATCTATTAGTTTATCGATATCATTTTGTCTATATAATAAAAAGAACATTACACGGCGGCTAGAAGATATGAATTTTATTTTCTCGTGGCAAAAACAATATTTTACTCACTCGCTGCGCTCGTTCGTAAAATATTGTTTTGCCACTCGAAAATAAAATTCATATCTTCGCGCCACCGTGTAATATCCTCTATCTATATATTCCGTAAAACTACTGAAAACTATCATCGGCTCGATTCGCTTCTTCTAATTTGTAGACATATAAATTCAGGCAGACATAAGGATGAAAGCCATAGAATACGTATGTGTAAATTGTACACTGAAAACATGCTTTATCCCGATTTATCGATAATTTTGGTAAAAGCGGCATTCCGCTGTGGATAGATTTTTGTCTTCGTTGGCGACTGACATGTCGCTGCAACCCTAATTGCATTACCTGAATATTATCAAAATCGCTTTCGATCATCAACTGGGTTATCGGTAGACATCACACAAAAAGGGCAAAAAAAAGAGTATATGCTATATTACGTTTTCCCGAGAGTTTATTTTTATCGTTGCCACCCCGGAGATCACCAGAAACCGAGGGAAAAGTTAAAAGGGAGTTTCGGGGTAGGGTGGGGGCACAGAGAAATAGTCTGAGAGAGTTACCGGCTAAAAATCTAACGTTGACATTTAAAAGGTTCATTTGAAAATAGGACCCGGGAACTTGTGCGCGCCATTTGTCGACAGAAGTCTGCTTAGCCCTAGGAGGTATTTTCAGTGAAAAGAGCCAATTGGTTTTCGACATTAGTTAAAGCAAATTCGTCTTATTTTAACTTGACAGCGACTGAGTCGACTAAATCTCGCTTAATGAAAGGAAAATGGTTTTAAACGTTTGACCGGGGTGGAAAGCCCCCCCACCCCTGAACCCGGTGGAGGGGCATTCCCCAAAAATAGCTATACGGGGGAGCTATAGCTATACGGGGCAGTGAGTTTGAGATTCCTGATTTAAAACGGGGTGAAATATTTTTTTTCCTTTCACCTACAACGGGATACAAGATTTCAAACTCATGAAAGTTTCAAATTGTTAACAGCCATAAAACGCAAAAATATAAATAAACAAATTGTTGAACCCCTGTTGCGTGTCGTAGGCTGTGGTAAAGTAATTGTCGAGTAATACCGTATTTCATATATATAAATTTATAGTTCTCTTTCTTTAACGATGTGTATTTTGGTTACTTAATTTTATTTTTGTTTTACAATTTTAGTTCGAGGGCCACTAGTTATTCAGTTGAAGTACTGTCTATTATTATTACTCTGCATTCGTGCTTTGCGCTCCAAACAGAAAAAGACAAAATTGTCGTATTTTGAGTCGAAGTCGAAGTTTAAGTCGAAAAGGCAACGAAATAACTTTGTTTTTCAAAAAAGGAGGGCTTTGGAAAGTTACTAAAATCTAGAACAGTGTGTTTAAAATTGAGCTACTAGCCTAAAGGGTATTCTTTATAAAACAGGGTCAAAATTTGGGCACCCGGCAGCACATACCCACCAGAAAAATCATGAACGTTGTACCCCTCCGTGCCTGCCCTCTACCCGCGGTAACGTTTCCGAAAGCGATAATGAGGATACTGTGTGGCACGAAATTTTCGCGGGTTCTAATTTTTGCAATTTTTCCATCGATCCGCAAAAATAAGTTCCCGCAAAGAAAACTGAAGTTACCGCAAAAATTTACTCCAGAGTAAATATTCTCTCACGTAAATTCACTCCGCAAAGATACAGTACTAAGAAATCGTGTCTGTTCGATTACAACTTGCCTCTTTCATTCAGAAACAAAACGGTATTAATACAATGAATTACTGGTTTTACACAGGGTACGCATAATGTAATACTGTTCGAAAATATGTGTTTCTATTACACCCTGAGTGTACTGTTTACTTTTTGAAAATCGCAAAAATTAATTCCCAGCGAGAAAAACCAATCTGTCCTAACCGCAAAACACAAAGAATCGGCAGACCGCAAAAATAAACTGACATGTGTGCAAATTAGACGCGGATCGAGCTGATGATAGTTTCTATTAGTTTTGCGGCATCATGTAGTGTTTGAACGGTCGTAATCC